GTTTCTAGTAGTATTTTAGGAAATAAGACTTGTAGTCTAGGTTAATCCAGAACACACTGAGCATTTCTTCCTATATTAATTAGAAGGGTATCTAAGTCTAATTAGAGCAATTGACCTTCACATTGTAATAGTTTCCTATTCTCCATCTCAAAAACAATAAAACAGAAACAATTTCCAACTGGGGTACTCAACATGATTCAAATAATTCAAAATAGAGAAGTTTTTCAATGTTTTGAAAACAATAAACCTTGGTGATTACTTCTCTACCTCCAATATGATAAACCAGAAACTATTTCCCCATTGACTAATTTCATGTTGCAAGCTGTCCCAAAAATTGGAAAATTTTCCAACGAACAATAAGGTGGATGATTAATTCTGTCACTCCATGATTGTATGCAAATTTCCAATTTTCGGTGCATTCATATTAAGCTATCAGTAAACTAAACATCTCTTCTCATCTCTCAAACGCTTTCAGTCAGGAATTCCCCTCTGCCTGGAAGAAGTAAAACACCACATGGCAAGCTGAGCAACTACTCCTCCAAGTTCACGTTGAAGATTTCCAGAAAAATCAAAAGAAGCACTATATATCATCAGTAAAATAGATTTCATGTTGTTAAAAACTTAAAATGAAAAAAGAGTTCATTCTTGTAATCTAATTTTGCACACAGATGATTCTTTCACTGAAAACGTAAATTACCCAAAACATCAAAAGTTCAACGCATTCATACCAATACAATTACGTCCCCTAAATTTTACACCAAACGAGCACAACTATCATCCACAACTTCCAAAACAAAGCCAAAGAATCCAAGAAAATCAGAACTAATTCCACACTATCACTCAAAATCAAGCAGCCAAGAAAAATCGAACCCCTTTCCTTCATTTCACCAAAATCAACCAGACAAAACCACACTCATCTATTCACCTAATAAAAAGGCAAAACGGCAAACAAACAAAACAAGGAATCTAGAAAAATGAAAAGGAATTCTGAATTGAAGGAAATCCAATAAAATTTCAAATATTAATTTTAAAAAAATTATACGTAGACCTTTGAAAAGAAATTAACAGTAGGATAAGCACCACGATCAGGACTTATAACCGCCGTTGCACGTGTAGGGACTTTCCACATGTGCCGTGACTTATTCCTCTCCTCTCCTCCTCCCCGCCCATGCATAGCCTTGCATTTTCCCCTTCGAGTACCATCAATACCCCCCCCCCCTTGTTTATATCTTCCTTTTCCCTTCTCTAATTTCTCGCCCACCCCCACTACTTTCACCAATTCGAAACCCTGGGCGCATCAAACCCTACCAAATCGTCCCTTATCCAACCCCTAAATTCCCCGATCTCAAATCCAAAACACTGAAATTCCTTTCGATTACGATCCTCTAGCTTACCCGATCTAATTAAATACAGTTGCATCTACCACGTTCGGTTTCTTAAGCCACCTTTCGATCTATAGAAAAAAAGAAAATGGATTCAAAGCATTCAAGATAGAAAATAAAATAAATTTGTATTTGCTCGAGTTTTCGGAGGAAGGAAAGACGGTGGAATAGAGATGGCAAAAACAAACTTTACATGGGTCATGTGTAAAACGGATTGAATAGTCGGTTCAATGATTGAACCGGTTAAATAAAAAATTGATGGGTAAATTACAAAATTTTACCACTCAATTTTCTTTTTACTCTTATTTTAGTTATTAAAATTTAACTTTTTTAATTTAATCACTTATGTTTCGATTTGTTCCTATTTGATTACTCGTTAAATATTTAATAGCGTTATGACTTGATATTTTTTAAAAAAATATATGAAATTACGCTAAAACTTCATTTAAAAAAAACTCATGGTTTTAGATTTTTTTATTAATGATGAATGATCTTCCTCAAACCCCAAACATGGGACGTGGAAAAGAAGAAAATGAGTTGCATGTCTTGATTCCACACTGATCGAATGATGGATATTGCATATTAGGTAGTTTTGAATTTTATGAGTTTTGGGTTGAGTTTTGTTAATTTTAAAGTGATTTTAAGAAAATTTAAACTGATAGAGAGATAGAAGATGACAAGATAAATTTGTCAATGTCTTAAATGGTCAAAGAAGATGTCAAAGAATGATAATTTCAGTGTCGATATGACACAGATGAAATTGTAAAACTTTCATCTTTAAATGAAGAAAATATTTATAAAAAAAGATAGAGAAAACAATATGAATGACACATGGATGTCATGCAATAAAAACCAACCCAAATCAATATACACGATTGTCATGTAACCCTTCAATTTATGATTGAGAAACCGAAAGTTTAATGAGTGAATTAAAACTTTAAAATTTTAATAATCAAAATAAGAGTAAGAAGAAAGTTAAATGATGGAATTTATTATTTATCCAAAATTAGTTAATTTGTCTCTTTTTTAATATAAGAAGGAGAAAGCCATTACATTAATTCTTTAATCGCCGGTAAAGAGGACCATAAGAATCTCTTTAAAGAAAATTCAGTAAATGAGACAAAAAAATCAAAGACAGAGTTATGATTAAATATTGATAGTGGTCAGAATATTAGAATATTTAAGAAAAATAAAATGATTTATTAGGTATTTGTACTCAAAATTTAGCATTAATCAATAGACATTATTGATTAAGGGATTATTATTATTTTTGAGGTCTCGAGTTTGAGCATTACGAATGTAAGGATATGAGCGTTTATTGTCAAATGATTGATGGTTTTTGTACATATTGTACCTTGTATAAACATAAGATTTATATATATATATATAAATTCAAAATTCACAAGAGAACACCTAATTTATCTAATATTTAAACTTGTAATGACTTAAATTGTTATTAGACTAAAATTTTGAGAACATGATGTTATCATTCTTTAGTTCGTCTCTAGTCAACTAAATATTTAATAAATGCTTATATTTTTAATTTAAATATTTATTTTTTATGAACCAAAATAATATTAGATTAAAATTTTATCAAATATATTAATTTTTTAACAAGGAATAAACGCCCAACAGAGCTCCGCCGCTTCGGAAAATCACCAAAAATGGTAAAGGAATCATCTGGGCGGGATGTCGTCTTCACAATGAAATCGGCCGCTGCATTTGTTTCCGATGGATATTTTGAAAATCAATGAACGTGTTTTATTGAAGAGAATCTCAATGGTTTGCACCAAAGCAAATGAACTGTCCATAGATGGAGAAAGTAAACGAAGAACATCATTACTATCAGACTGAATAATAACTCGTTCAAAAGGATTGTCCATATAATAAAATTTATTTATTTTTCACGTGGAATGCACATATTTATTCTATATTGAAAACATATTTAATATATATATATATTATTAATTTATAAATCATATAATTTTATATTATTTTTATACATAAATTATTATTAAAGCTGCTAATATAAAAAATATTTAAAGTGGTTTTAAAATAATATTAAAATTGAATAAACAGATTGTTGAAAGTTACAGTAAACAATTTGACCTTAGATGTAATAATGAACAAACACATTAGGGTTTTCTTTTTGAATAACAAAGAGATATTGACAGTAAGAAAAGTAGCAACTAGCAGTCCCTTGCTTGCATCGCACGAGCTTGGGCGTCGCCTTTAACAACTGCTTCGAGTTCATCAGTGGTTCATGGAAAAATGAATGTCAAAAGGACGATTCCTATTGATGAGATCAGTAATATGCGGCGATAACAAACAATCGCTTAACTCAAACGTAATTAAGGGTATATTTGTTTGGGGAAAAATCAATTACGGAATTAGTCTCCTTCGAAATTCCGTGCTTGTTTTACGTAATTTATTTTTTGGAAAATATTTTTCGGAAAATGTTTTCCCGTGTTTGTTTCACGTAATTCGTTTTCCGGAAAATATTTTTCAGTATTTGGTTGGAGGAAAACTGGTTGGTCAACGTAAAACATTTTTCTGATCAACAAAATTTCATTTGTGTTTTCTGGAAAATGACTTATGGTCTGATTTTCCGTAAGTCATTTTCTGAACTTTTCACTTCGAAGAATAAATACTCAAAATAATTTTATTTTATGAATTTAATATTAATAAAATATTTTAATATCATTTTAATCAAAATATTAATTATTAAAATTTTTAAAATATATTTATTAAAATTTTTAATAATATAATATTATATTTTTAATATTATAATAAAATAATTAATTATATTATAATAATATAAGATATTATATTTTTATTTTAATAATATATAATAAATTATTAATAAAATTTATATTATTTATTAATTTCATATAAATAATATTATTAAATTATTAATAATAAATAATATTATTTATATATTTAATATTAACATAATAATATAATAATATTTTAATAAAGATATTTAAAATATACTAATTAATATTTTTAAAATATAATATAACACTATTACTTTAATAAATAATTAATATAATTTATAATATTTTTATTTCAATAAAATATGCCAATATTAATATTTTTATTAATAAAATTATAAAAATAATATTTAATAATAAATAAATTATTTTAATATTTTAAAAATAATAATATTAAGTTTTATGATAAATAATATTATTTAATGTATTTAATATTTTTAATAAATAATTTTTAAAAAACTCATCAACTAGTGGAAAAAATATTTAAACAACATCTTCCAAATATCATAAAACGTTTTCAAGATGATTTTTTAGAAAAATGTAATTCATTTTACGGAAAATATTTTTCGGAAAACGTTTTTCATAAATCTAATTCATTTTTCAAAATTCAAATTTCAGTAATTCATTTTTTAGAAAATTAATTATAGAAATAAATAAAAAAAACAGACCCTAATTTAGAGTTGTTGAGCTAGAATCTTATCACGAAGAAAATGAACGTCAGAATCAACATATTTTATAAAAAAAATAATAACCATTTTAAAACTTTTGGAAGTTAAATAAAAAGTTGAAGATGAAATTATTCATTTATATTTTCATGGGGGGCACCATTAAGATACATAGCGGAGAGTTCTGAAGGAGCAAAGTGGCCAGAAAGTGCGAGTTTTGAAAGAGAAGTTTCATTGACTTAGAAAGGTTTTAGAGCCAGGAAAGTGAATCCACTCCAGTTGAATTTCAACTTCACCGCACTCCACGTCTCTTAATCTGAGTAAAAGGTCTTGTACCACCTTCCCTTCGTGCAAGTATATCGCACTCTCCTCGGCCAGGCAATTGGTGGTGGTCGGCGGCAGTCTTGACAGCACCGTTCCATCTGGGACTTCTTCCAAACTGGAATTATGCAATTTCAAGGCTTCTATATATGATCTCACCTCAAATTCTGAATTCCCCATTTTATCGTCCTTCGAAAATGTGTCATGATCGTACACCGTCTGCAAATCAGGCAAAACACAAGAGACTTCCCGGTGTGATTGGAGTAAAAATTTTGACCCGATCCGACCTATTACTATCCCTGTTCGCATGCACCCTCTAAATTTAGGATAAAGTAATTATATATGGTAACCAAGAGACTTACCAGTGTGATTGGAATATTTGGGTCCGTTATAGACAGAGTTAAATCATCATTCCACTCAGGATTTACATCTTTCTTTACGATACGAGTCTTGAGTCTCTGCAGTAAATATTTTACATAACATTAACGTCTTCATCAACGAGAAAAAAAAAAGAATTATATTAAAAGAAGCAGCGAAAGGAAGACCTGGTTTCCCATCTTAACAACAACGTAAGGGTCGCTGCTCCGGACGTCACGAACGGCGAGGTTTACGCCTCGTTTGACATGGATCCGTAGCAAACCCATCAAGTTGTCCATCACAGCCGATGTGGTTTCACCGCCAGCAGCCTCTTTTTGAGCGCTTGCTATCAAGTTGGTCATCTTTGCTCTTATTCTCCTCCTCCTTTGTACGGCCGCCTGAAAAAGGTGCCTCGTTTCCTTCTCGAACTCTATCAAAATAGATAAAATATCAATAACTTGAAACCACTAGAAGAAGAAGAAAATACGAGGAGGAAGCAGCATTACTCATGATGTTGGTGAGATGCACCCCGACGTCGCTTTGGTCGAGAGGAAATGAGAAACCTTTGTAGCCTATAACAATGGAGGTTTGGATGATGGGCTCAAATATAGAGGAGGGGAGGTAGGGTTAATATACCAAGTGTCTGACCGGATGTTGCGGCAAATGATTGGTCGTCCGATTCTTCTTCTTCTTATTAACTTGTTCATTTTCTAATATTAATTGTTGTTTTCATGTATTTATAGTTTTACTCAAATTCTAATCTTTTTTATTATTATTAAACACACTAATCTTACATATATTAACTTCTTCTTAACTTACTAATCCAACCTCCCCAATTTTAAACTAATTTATCTTTTCAAAAAATTCGACCCATCTATCAAGATTCAAAACCCATCAAGTATAAATTGTTTTGCAATCTCTAGTTCAGTTATGGATTTTTCTAATATCATCTTTCAACCCAAGCGGAGTGGCCCAAGAAACGAAATGAAAAAGCCCACCGGCATTTACAAAATTCTTCCCCGACTCTGTGTTCTCGCGTTTCAGAGATGGAAGCAGACCAGCCCTGGGAAGCTCTAAACCTTGGCGACTCTGACTCTGACATCCCATCCCTTCTCCGCCCTTGTAAACGCAAATCCACAGAATCTACCCGCCCCTCCCCAAACCGCATCCCAGGCCCTGCCGGGGCCGTTCACGCCGCTATGCTCAGTAAACTTCAGAACAATATCAATTCCTTCTGCATTGGCAAGGAGCCCCTTACGACCCAGGAGTACGTTAGGAGGGCCGTCCTTGATTCTGACGTCGACGACGGTGACTTCTCGCGTGATCCCTGGCTTTTCGCCCTCGAATTTATTCGCCGTGAAGGTTTCTTTTTAATTTTTTGATTTGTTCATTTGCTGTCAAATTATGGTTATGCTTTCTAACAGTTTCCATATTTCGATATATATCAATATTTGAGAATGTACAAGGTAAGTGGTAAAACTAATTAGAAAAATGCAGCTCTAACTTGTTAAACTGCTTAGGAATTTTCGGGTATCATGGCGCTTAGACTCTAGTGATTGTTTTCATTTTATGAAAGGCTTGGCTGTTGATGGCGGGACAATTGGTACTCCATTGAGTTTGATCAAAACTGAACCTAAGCTGGGAAACAGAAAAGTAGCTCAGGTAGGGCTGTTTTCTTCTAGATTCAGGTGCTTTCCATGTGTATTGCTTTCTATTTAAAGTGAGTTAATTACTTAAGCAAAACCCTAGAGAGGAAGTGACGATCCACCACTGGGTAGTAGGGCGGTAAACAATTCAATTCAAGCTCGAGTATTACTGAGCTCAACTTAACTCGAAAAGTTCAAAGCGGAGCTCGACTCGCACTAGAAATAAAAATTGAAGCTCAACTCAAGCTCGAAAAAATTTGAACTCGAAACATTCTCAAACTTAACTTTATGGAAGCTCGAACTCAAGCTCGGTTCAAGCTCGAAACTGAACCTTAACTGTATGAAAACCTTATTGATGTTAATATTATTCATAACTTAATTTTAAAAATTAAAAATTTAATATATTATTTTTTGAATCGCTCGTGAGCTTTTCGAATCAGATATCAAGTAAGTTGCTTCGGCTTGTTAAGAATTGGAGTAGAATTCGAGCTCAAGTGAAGTCCATTCGAATGGAGTGTTGATTGAGCTTTGAAAGAGTTAAGCTCGAGTAGCTTACGATCTGTCTTGTCTCATTTACAGTCCTATCGGGTAGTTTGAACCTTTTTAGCTAACCATGTGCATATCAATCCAAAATTTTCCATGTATATTGCTTTCTATTCAAAGTGAGTTTATTATTTAAGTCTTGATTTCTAGAATCTTTTGGTTTCTCTTTTAATAGAAAGGAAGTGATGATTTATCTCTGGGTAGTTTGAACCAAATTCTAGCTAACCATGTGCATATCAATCCAGAGTTTTCCGTGTATATTGCTTTCTATTTTTTTTCAAACTAAATGTTTTTTGTCATTATCGGTGGTCTAACTGAAGACCTATAAGCTTCCAAACTTGAAACAAAAACCATATTGATTTAATACAAAATGTTTTTGTCACTTTCCGCTTTTATATTCCATCAGGTTGTTGCCATTATCAAATCTTGCACCCCAAATGGTCTTGGTGATCTTATGGTGACTCTCAAGGTAAAAATAACTCAATTATTATGATACGCCTTTTTTGTTCCAATGCTCTCTATGTTGCAAGAACATTTGATGTGCTTGTGATTTGATTTTAGGATCCTACGGGTACAATTGATGCTAGCATGCACCGGAAAGTCCTAATTGAAGGAGGCTTTGCAAACAACATAACTGTTGGCACGGTTTTGATACTGCAGAAGGTTTTTCATTGTTTTCCCCCGCTTGGGCCAATATTTACATAATTTTAGTCATGCATGGTGAATGTTTTTCGAATATGGTGTTATCTACTTAGAATTAGAACTAGAATTATACTGTAAATCCATATGGTTTCTAGTAGTTGGCCTTCCTTCTGTAGAACTTCATGTGTTAGATTCAATATCTACCATGTTGTCACATGTGTCGAGGCTTAAATTGAAGAACTGTACTTGCAGGTTTCAGTTTTCTCATCTCCGCTCTCTGTTCGTTATCTCAATATAACGCTCAACAATATTGTAAAGGTACAAATTTAACATTAGCTACTTCAAAGTGAATGATTGCTATCAATAGTTGATACTAATGCTAGAACATTTGCCTTTGTCCTATGTTTCCCACCTTTTTCTAGTTACTTTCTTTTGTTTGGGAAAAGAGGTGCTCTGCAAGGTTTCCTAATCCCGGAGTTTAATGTACTGAGATTGTTGGGAACCATATTTCCAGTGGCTAATGCAAAATAAACTGATAAGCATTCATATAAGAATTTATGGTCTTCAGCAAGTGCTGAATATACGTGCTTTAAGGAGTCCCTGTCAAAGCATGCTTATGAATTTATGTACTTGTACCTATCCTAGCTGGTTTTAGAGCATAGTTCATACTTTCTGGTTATCCTAAGAAATCATGTCATTTATGATGCAATATATTTGTGCAACACTTGATTAATATTACCTGCCTGCAGTACTTGATCTTGGCTCCTTATAACATTTTTAGTTTCAAAGTCATATTGAGGATGATTAAATCATCCGAATTATAACCGTTCTATAGCAGAAGAAGAGTTGCAAAGAGTTGATCCAGAAAATTTTTGCTGAAGTGGTTAAAGTTTTCTTATTGTAGCCAAGTTTCCCTAGTCGGAGTGAATGACACAAAAACTGTTAATTGTTTTATATTATTTTATTATTTCTGTTTGATTTATTAATTATTGTACATAAGATAGGTAGGATTTCGATTTGTATTTTGGGTTGAAATTTAGGGCTAGTATTAAAACTTTAATGTAATCCTGGTATAAATAAGTTGTAAAATATTTGCAGCCACAACATTCTTATTATTATTTTCTTTCAATTATAGACAAAACTAGAGGGTTTTATAACCCAACCCTATGTTTTCAAGAGTTTCAACACCCATCTTATCTGTTTTCATCCTTAATACTATTTATTTGCTGTTTTTTTCTCCTAAAGCATGGTACCATACCATTTAGGTCACTGCCATTGACATAACTGTTTATAATATGATGTCTGGTCTTATATTTTTCCTTTTGCTGTTCGAAACTCAAATCGCATTTCTTAACCATCTTAAAAGTTTCTACTTGAGTCTACATTTTGCATTAAAATAAACTCTAGGTGTTTAACTATTACTTGATACAATTTACTAATTTTGCAGGCAATCCCAAAGGATACCAAGTCTCTGTCAGAACAGAATCATAAGTCAAGGGTCATATCCACTGCTCATGCCATTGGTCAGTACAATTGATCATTTCTTTTCCCTATCCAGTGGTAGGTTGTATGAGGAAAAATTCAGTGTCTGGCTTAAATTTGGAACTCAATATGATAATAATGCCCTGCCCACACCAAACCATTAGTATTTTATCTTTCGATGGACCATAAGGTCACTGGTTTTGTCATGGCTCCTGTGGAATTGTTTCAATAATAAAACCTGAATGTTACTCTGACAGTTAACCCACCTTCTGGCTTCAGGAAACACTAAGCAGACTTGGAATCGACAGAAAGTGTCGAGTTTGTTACCGGACAGAAATGCAAACATCATTAATAGCCTCAGACAAACTTGTTATATGAGAGGGAGAGTGCTGAATGATAAAGGAGTTGGTGGAGATGAAGCATTGGGGCAGCATATTGGCGGCCGAATGAAAAATGCTGCAGTGCTAGATGTCACGAATGAGCTCGTGGAAAACGTTGTGGTCGAGAAGATGCCGAGTCCACAGGATTCGACGGAGAGAGATGACCACTTGAAAAGCAGCCATAGCAGTGATGATTCAAACTTGTTCGGCTTCTCGAAAAAGTGGGAAAGTGTAACCATCGATGAAGGTAAGAAACAAAGAAAGGTACCAATTTCAAGAGGTTCACTTCCACAATGGACTGATGAACAGTTAGATGAGTTGTGTTCATTTGATTGAGGTGATGGTGAAGAAGGATCAAATTGACTTCATAATAGAGATTGGATCGTACTAGTTTCGCAGTGTATAGATTGCATATTTTAGTGGTATTGGAAGTTCCTCAAGGGCATTGTGGCATTTATAATGACAAATTCAACCCTGGTGTATATCTTTTCTTCCATTTTGATCCTGATTTCTTTTCTACGATCACTTTGGTCTTTAGCCTTCAAATTGATGGATTTTTTTAATGACATAACAAAATTCGCCTCCAACGTTGATTAAAATGGTTATTTTGGTCTCTATTTTTTTTTGGAGCATTTTCATTTTGGGGCAAAAAGATCTCTCCGTAGATGAGAATTATTACTTAAAACAAGATTAACGTCCCAAATAGGGTTACATTGAAATGAAACGTTGACAGTCAAAATGTTTTAGAAAATAAAATAATAAGGGTCAAATTGATTATTTATTTAAATGTTATGGAGATTTTTGCTTGAAAATGAAATATTAGGTCAAAATGTTCCAAAAAAAGAATAGGAGCAAAGGACTATTTTAGTAAACTTTGGGGGACTAATATTGGCATTATGCCTTCTTTAATTGAATGAAAAGCTTATTGGATTGTTAATATTTTAACGACGCTGATGTGGCATGAATATTTCATTGTTGACGTAGATAATTTTTATTTTAAAATTAAGAACATTTCCAGGATTTTTGAATGTCACAATTGTTATTTTTACTCTTTTTTTTTAGAGGAAAGGAGTAACTTTAATTGAATAGTGCTTAAGCACATGAATCCAATCAATCAAAACTAGCCCTTAAATGTCAAATTCAGGCATAAACCAAATAGTTAAGGTTGTTACAAAACCAAAAATGATGAACGAAAAATAAAGTACAATGATTGTCGACTAATATCATATAATGGTATCAATGGCGAATATATAAAATCTTTTGGGTGAAATAATATAAATATTATATCGATAAAATTCATCAGATAATGACGACCATAGAAAATACATTATCTCAACAATTAATTCTCCACCAATATTATCTTACGATTTTTTTTTCACATCAACTATCGGATGAATTTTGCCATGATTTTTAAGCACACGTGGCAAACAGTTGTTCATAGTTAACGAGGGAGTAAAAAGGAGGAGCAAGAGATAGGGTTTCAGGTCGCCACATATGATATATATATGGTGATGGAATATTCAAATTTTATTTTATTGTCTTTCGAAATTCATACTAATTATTGAAATGGTAAACCAACCAGATTCTTTCAAGATTCTATGGTGTTCCCTACTTACACGTGTCCAGAAACTAGCTAAATGTAATAGTGACCTATAAGTGATTAATCAATTGTGGGATCCAATGATTAAGTCTTTTACAAACCCATCTATTTTATAGTTTTTAAATTATTTTCTATTTTTAATTTTTATTTTTTTTTATTTTTCAGTAAAATGAATTATTATTATTATATTTTAAAATTGAAAATTTCAATAGACAAAAGATACTATTGTCCGATTTACACAGGTGGCGTTCACTAGAGTTATAATTAGGGAAACGAGAGATTGTATTTTTAAAAATTTCAAATATATTAAAAAATATGTATTTATCCTTATAATATAAAATACTATATCCGTATCTAATTATGATTTTTTTTGTCGCTACTCGAGGGTGCATTGAATCTTGTGACCAAATTCCCACTGCGTTAATGCTCCCCAAACAGACGTTTGTGGAGCAATTGGAGTTAAAACACAGGTAAACGCACTATGATAGAACTGCACTGAACAACTAAAATATCACATAAAACCATTTTTTGCTACACATACAAATACGGATCATTGTCAGTCAAATTCTTATGCCAACAAGTCATTGTATATATTTACATGCGTCAAAAAAGTAAGTGGGTCTCGATATATGATCTATTTAATGCCACAAAAGAAAAGTCAGTGTCACATTAATAATAACAACAACAACAATAATACGATGTGGGTTGGCAAAATCCTAAATCAAATTGGCCCTTGAGTTTGTTGAGGGGACATTGATATGCGGATAAAATTCTATGGAAAGGGATCCAATGAACGGCGGAAACGTGAATGAAATTATGGTTGCACTATTTTTACTCTTTTTTTTTAGATCATGATCATTGTTATTATTATCAGGCATAATGTTATTAAATCGTAGAATGTTGGTTTCTAGTATGTTACCATATTAATGAAATTATATGCTATAAGTATTCCTCTTTGTTTATAATGTATTCCCCTATGTTTATATTGTCTTGCAGAGGATCGATCCTGGGCCAGGGTAGGAGGGGCGCACGCCCAGGGCCCACAAAAATAAATTGTTTTTAATATAATTTTTTTATTTTTCTGATAATAAATTAAAATTTACAAAATAAAAATAGAGTAATCTATGAATTTAGTACCTAAAGTAATAGTTCTGATCAGTTTTGGTACTTAAACTTTTAATTTTTTCAAAATCATATTTAACGTTTAATTTTCATTTCATTTTAGTATCTATCGTTAAAAAGTTAACGTTAAATTTTGATTGTATACTAAAATGAAATAAAAAGACTAAAGTTTTTAATTGTGGGTACTAAAATGAAACAAAAACTAAACTTTACGTATGGTTTTGAAAAAATTGAAAGTTTAAGTATTAAAACAGACTAAAATTGATAATTTAAGTACTAAACACGTAATTTACTCAATAAAATAATAGGACCCATAAATTTATTAAAGTGTCAATTATCTTTATTGAATTTTTATATTAACGTTAATAAATTGTTCTTCCATAAAATACTAATTTAATATTTCTTTCTCAAAATTAAAAAAAAATCAATTGAACTCTTTAATTTTGGTCTTTCCAAATTCTCACTATCAATTCACCAAATCTCTTTCCCGATTTTTCATATCAATAAAAAATTTATTAACATTATTTTTTTTCCAAAACTTAATGAGAAGAAAATTTAAGTATAATTAACATGCTTCTTTTCTCTTTCATGTTTCACGATTCATCTGAAATTATTATTCTCATTTTTAAATTTATCATATTTCTCTCACTCGTAGAATCACAATTGTTTATTATCAATTATGGTGTTTGAATCATATTGAAGATTGTTCTTTAAATTCGAGGTATACCACATTTTCAAATTGTTTCTTTTAATTTTATATATTTTCAAATTTTAGATAAGATCGATATATTGGAAAGCATTGATGTTGATACTATCATCAATGGTTTTGCATAAAAAAATGATTGAATGCAATATTTTTATAAGTATTTGTATTCTTAAATATATATTTTTTGACATCTTTTATATTGTAATGGATTACTGTTTTATAATTTAATAAAGAATCTAATAAAATTTTTATATTAAATATTTTTTAATTTTTTTATATTAGGGGCCCATCTTTTTATTTTTTCCCCGAGCCTACAAATAATATGGACCGGCCCTGGTCTTTCATGCTTATACTCATGAATTTCACAAAGTATAGTAGAGAGAAGTGTATCATTGAGCTTGGTAAAGCTCAGCGTTTTTTTATATTTCATTCACAAGTTAGCAGATCAAGCTTATCTGAATAATACCGTCGCAACAGGGCTTCCGACATCAACTCTTGAGAGTACAATACTTTATTTACTTCAGAGAGTATATGTATCCGTAGGACCCTTTATATGTAAATCTATTGCTATTTTTGATGCATTTGGTCATATTAAATTGTCAATCTTGATTTTGTATAATCATTTTTATAACTAATAGAAATATTATTATTTTATTATATCATATTTATGATATGATTAAATATAGAAAAAATAAGATTTTTAAATTAACGGTCGTTTTGACGGCACAATATAACACATTAGACCCATCATATAAGAGATCGGGCTTGGAGTGTTTTAATTAAACTTGCAGCTGGTGGTTTTAATGGAGCCTGACAATGCCGTGTAAGGAAGACGAATCTGCTTTTACCTTGTCCACCGTGGCTTTGGTTTGATCATAATGTTTGTTCAAGACAGTAAACAATGGCATGACATGTGTAGTTAATGAATCAAACATATTACAACATGAAACATATATTATTGTCTGTTATAACATCCATTTCATACACGTTACTAATCTGACCATAACAAAATGTTTGCCCACTGATTCCAGCATTCGACATCGATCGAAGCTATTCGCCGCCCATATCCGAGTACTTCCCATCATCAGAGATATGGATTCCGATCCGGTTTTCGATTCTTGTTCATTCACATCATGTCAATGATAACCCCATTTTTCGCCCTCTTTGCCCGAGAATGAGTGGGAATTCTCTCTTGTTGTTATGATGAAGGGAACTAAGTTAACCGAGGATAAATCGAGAGGGTTAGTGGAAACGATCATTCTCCTAAAAATTATGATTCTTATATAATTTAAATATTTTTTTATTGATAATATAGTTTGTAATCACCATTTTTCAACCATTATTATTATTATTATTATTATTTATTACAAACTCAATACCCAACATTCAAATCCAAACCCGGACTCAAACCAAAACCCTAGTCCAACACCTAAACTAACCTAATCTAACACTAACCCTAATATATCTTTTCAACTGCCACAGCGGCCGTCAAAGTTGAGTCTCACAGCCGCTGATCGAGTTCGCCCCACGTCTAGCTGCGTCGGTCGTCACCGCTGTCAAGCCTAGTCGAACCAAATCCCATCAGAAATATCAACAAACCCCGTAAAATCTAAAGGCATTAATAACACAAATCATCACATACAGTGGATGTTAGAGGAGCAAGTAGGAATTAGGATTTTTTTATTATTTATCTCTGTAAAATTTCGAGTATAAGAACCCGAAAATCAATATGTAAAAAGGGCTTATTCCCTCATTTTTCGAAAAGCAATACCAAACAAGAAAAAAATTCAAGGTTGATTTTGTTCATTTTTAAAAGTTTTTTTTTCTCGAATCGAACTAAAAAATTAAATAATAAGAAAAGTGGTAGAAGGGGTTACCTGAAGGGAGAGAGAGCTTGTCCTTGTGACTCGATTCA